ATTTCCAGACATAAAATACAAAAATATGGCAAAGATCAGAGCATTAACTCTTCTGCTGATAGACCATGCCTTTGTTATGTTAATCGTTCATCAATGGATTATGGTGTAGAATATGTTGCAATAGGGTTTCAAGCAGGGTTTGAAGAAGATGATGAGCCAAGAGGAGGAGGAAAGACATGAGTGAGTGAGTGAGTGAGTGAGTGAGTGTGTGTGTGAGAGAGAGAGAAAGAGAGAGAGAGAGAGAGAGAGAGAGAGAGAGAGAGAGAGAGAGAGAGAGAGAGAGATCACTTAAGCAGGATATAATTCTATGCATTGTTAAGATGGGAAATAGTCCTATGGCTACCAGCATTCTCTGACTGTGAAATGCTGGGATTTTTCCCCCCATCTAAATATGCATAAGACTACACCCTAAAATACATTTGTTTAGAGCCCATCTAGTATTGCAACCAAAAACGCTTTAAAATATAATTGAACATGCCCTTCATTCCCCAACAATTAAAATCTACCCTCACCAAACACTAGCTCTTTATATATTTCCTGCTTTTGCAAAATTCAAAATGCATACAAAGACAAAATAATAAAAATGAACGTAGTATGCATTTTCAGTACTTAGCTATCACTTGCTAGAACAACATCTCTAATAGTAAGTTCTGTATAGAATGTTACATAGTGATAGATGACTAATGCAAATGAGAAAATAATTGTATTTACACAATTATTTTTCTTATACATTAGGCATATACATTGTAACTGGGAATATATAATATACATTATACCCACATAACAACTAAGTACAATATTCAGTCATCCAAATCTGGCTGGGGTAGGGTATATGTGCCCAAACTATAGCGGAAAAGGGAACTGCACTAACCAGCAGATGCAAGATTTGTAACTCCCTTTCTAACCAGCTACCTGGGCTGCATGCCAAATAGCTGATTGGTAGAAATGGGGACTGTTTGTCAGGGCTGTGTATGTGTGATTTTGGCAGGTGTGTATTTGCACAGTTGCAACAGAGCCAAAACTTTTAATTGATTAATCTGCCAGTTACAGCAATTTAGACTGCAATCCTAAACCTATGTTCCCGTGAGTTAGTTCTGCTGAACTCAGTAAGACTTCTGAGTGGACAGATTACACTGTCAAATTTGAAAATGTAAATAGAAAGGTCAGCATTACACCCTTTCAAGTCTTGGACTCACCCCTTAGAGCATTCCTTTTCTTCCTTAACAAATATGAACTTTTTCCATGCAACTATTGTTTTTGAATGTACCTGAGATCATCGCTCATTCATTGCTCAAAATCCAGATCCCTTTTCTCAGCATAGCACATTAGTTGTGGAGCATCACGTTTCCCCCAGAGTTTTGTCACTGGAAAAAAGCAATTCTTTCCCCAGCTAACATACCCTGTACTATTGCAAGTGCTGTTTAACATGCATTCCAGTGTTTGTGCCATCACTAGGATCTTGCAACACAATTGATACTCTTCCTCTGCATACACCACTGTGTGGGATGGTATGTATGTATGTATTTATTTTCCATTTATATGGCAGCAATTTTTTAAAAAATCATACAAACACATTTTTAAATAAAGAACAATTTAAATTTAAATTGCCTTAAAATGTAAAAAAGCCTTAAAAGGTTTAAAACCAAATATAATCAGTAATACTACTACTACTACTAATAGTTGGAGCATTCCTGGATATTCTCATACATTAGAGTTCATCTCACCTTTAACAAAACACATAAACCAAGCAAACAGTATTGCGGCATGTTCAAACCAAGGGTGCCGTCCTATCAGGAGGCCCATGAGCCCCTGAATTCAGAGACAGCCCATATGGAGTGAGATGAGCAGTGGAGACTCTCCCCACCCTTCCACCCTGCATTTTTGTCAGGTGGGCTTTTTCACTTGTCTAACTGGAAGGAAGAAGGCGGGAGAGGAGTGAGGATGGTGCACATCCCAGCCTCTCCAGTCCCACGTTGGCTCACTCCCGTCTACCCCTCTCTGAGGTCACCTTTCTGACCTCAAGGAGCAACCGGTGTGGTTCTTTCCATGCCAGCTGTGATGTGGAGGGAGCTGATCCTCCGGCTGAGTTTGGAGCACCATCTCTCACCTCAGAAGCAGGAATCGAAAATATCCTGTGTCCCCCTCAGACACAACTTTTGCTGTCTATGCTCCACCACATCATCAGGCGTACTTCATTCATTACAATAGCAGAGGCAAACAAGACCAAGTGCCAGACACCTGCAAGGCTGAGTCCTGCACCCAGAGCAATTGCCCACCATTTCTGAACCACAGAAGCGAACAGGACATTTCGCGTCTCGGCTACAGAGACTTCTCTTTTTCTGAACAGGAGGTCAAGTGCTCCCCCCACAGTGAGGCTCCACCTGGTTCTGGAGGCACTGGGTCAGTCTGCAGGCCGTGTGCCTGTGCGGATCACTTTCTGTGGAACATAAGCAAGACGCTCATGTAGCCCTATGTTCTGCTTATGGACTTTGCATGGGCCTCTCTGGGAAACAGGATATTCGACTAGCTATACCTGTGTACATTTGATCCACCAAAGCCATTGTTATGAGTCTACACACACATGTACCTCAGAGGTTTTGGGCCTCTGAGCAGAAAATCTTCACTACAAACTTCTCAGGAAAAAAGCAGAACAAACATAATTCAAATTAGCAGCCATCTTGACAGTCTTAAATGATGGCCAAAAGCTTTTCTTTGATTTTGCAGCTTCATGCTGCTCATGCTGCCTCACAGTAAGATCAGTTCTGTCTCCATGCTTTTCAGGAGGACTGCATATTGCACTGTAAATTGAAAAGTGCAGTGCTATCGTACAAGTGCCAAAATAGATGAAGGGCTTTCTCTGTCTAGATGAACCTGCCTCATATGCCTTCTTCTCTGAGGAAGGCCTGCTCTGTGTCCCACCGTGACCACCTGAACTGCAACTGGCAGTCCCAAAGGACAGTGGTCTCCAAGGTATAAACTTCCTTACTATTGAAAAGCTGATTGGTCTTTGTGCCATTAAATATCAACTGAAGACACTGATAGGAAGTTACCTTATACTGATTAAGACCATATTACTGCCCAGGGTTCTTCGTGATTTCAGGCAGGAGTTTTTCCAGCCTTACTTAAGCACATGTATGTGGAAGTTAAATCTCATTTAAATCAATGGAATGTACCTTTGCATAGGATTGTGCAGTATGGCTAAAAACCTAAGCCTGCTTGCTATAGCACAAGACTCATCAAACTCAATGGAACTTACTTGAACATGCTTAGGGTTGCATTCAGAACAATGAAGAAAATGACCACTTGCCAGACTTTTCATGATGAGCAATAATAATAAAAGTTGCCATTGCTCTGTATTTTATGCTGAGATTATGTATTTGGGATGTAATGTGTGATTTTTATGTATGTCTTTTGTGAATTTTTGTATGTCTTTTGTAAGTTATGATTCTTTCTTTCTTCCTTTCCTTTCCTTTCCTTTCCTTTCCTTTCCTTTCCTTTCCTTTCTTTCTTTCTTTCTTTCTTTCTTTCTTTCTTTCTTTCTTTCTTTCTTTTTTTTTTGGCTTATCTTGCCAGCAAAGCCTCATATACTTCGATACATCATCACAATTATTCATTACATCATTGACAACAACAACTGTTAAAATTATTACTGATACTATAAACACATATTATTATGATACTGCAATATCTGGTGGAGCACCTCTCTCAGCATGAACTTATCAGCCATCACAATCAGAATCCAGGTTTTCCTCCAAGAGGAGCTTGGAAGGTACCACAAGGGAATGGGCTTTCTGGATGGCACTTCATCTGTGGAACTCCCTTGCCATTGAGGTCTGCTTGGTGCCATCATTGTCCCCATTCTGGCATCAATCAGCCATCTTTTGGTCCCAGGCATGTGATGGTCTATGGTAGGGCATTTATATCAATTGTTTTAATCAGGTTGACAATCTTAATGTAACTCTTTTTAGTTGTTTATCAATGGTTTTAAAATTGTATTTATTGAATATTTATATGCCACTTAATACACCACATGGGGAGAGCCAGCGTGGCATGGTGGTGGGACCGGTGCACTGGGGATATGGGAGATCTGGCTTATATTTGCCACTCAGCTATGAAGCACAATAGGTGACTTTTGAGCTTCATAGCTCAAGACAGTCAGTTGCTCTCAGTCTGACCTACTTCACAGGATTGTTGTTGTGAGGATAAAATAGAACATTGTAATCTACCTCAGGTTCCTCACAAGAGGAAAAAGGGTGGGATAGAAATGCAATGTAATAATAATAATAATAATGATGATGATAAGCATTTCCAAGTGATTCATGTTTGCATGGTAAATATTTGTATATTATGCTTTTATTATCTTATAGTTGTGATTGGTACTTGTTGTGAACCAACTAGACAGCTTTGTTTGTTAGACAATATAGAAATGCAAATGATTGCTTATTATGAACATTTTCCTATGGTCCTCACATTTCTTTCAAGGTGTCTGCCAAGTGGCAACCATATTTCACTTTTGCCAGAGAAATACCCATTAGTCTGCTTGTAGGAGAAAATGACAATAATGGCAAAGTATTTTTGCTGAATTTTATTTTTTTAAAGGATTGGCTAGCCTCTTGATGTTCTTTTCACCTTCCCTTTTTCCACTTTTATCAGTAACTTCCTTTTTATCAGCACCCTCATTTTAGAAGTTTCCTCTTTAGAACTGAAACGTGACTGAATTGGACTTCCTTGCCGATTCATTCATTTTAATGGGTCCGCTCTAAGTAACGCTAATTTTGGGCACAACCCATAACGTTTCACTTATGTTTGCAGACGAAAGGTTTGTCGACAATCAGTTGGAGTTTCTTTGCGTTCTGTTTCTTGCATTGCTTCGATCGGGCAGCACTTTCACCCCATTGTACAGACCAAGCACTTCATGTGCTCTCTTGCTACAAATGAGGACGTACTGTCCCTTTAAGACGATGCCGTGCCTTGGTGATACTGTCGCTTTAAAAGGCTGTATCCTTCTAGTCTCTGGCTCTTGAAGAGGGCTATGGCCATTGTTTCGCTCCTGGTCTTTCTCCCCTTCCTCCCAGTCTGATTAATTCAACCACCACTGCACTATTAAAATAATAATAATAATTTTAAAAGGACGTCAAGATGGCTGAGATGGGCAAAGGAGTCACTGCAGGGAAAATAGCCAGCAATATGCAGAAGAAACTCACCAGGGCTCAAGAGAAGGTAACGAATGAACAGAGGGGCGGAAAATGCAGGGAAAGGGGACGCGGGCAGTGCCTTTGAGCCCATTCACTCCCAATCATTCACGGGGGTTTTCGGGGCGATCACGGGGCTCTCCCTTGCAAAGCAACGCTGGTGTATAACGGGGGTGCGTGCGTGCGAGAGTGGCGCAATGCCATGCCATGGACTGTCCCGCCCGCCTCCCCCCGCTCGCACATTAGAAGTGTTGCTCCTACGGAGGATTCCGTATTTTCCCTGACACTGACAGCTCAAGCCACGTTGTCTGGCTCGTCCCTGCCGCACCCGGCCCCAGCATTTGGGAGCCTGCTCCGTGGTCTCGGGGATCGGGGAGGGCAAGCTAAGGGAGGCGAGGACTGGGCGAGGCAGGACTTGCAGCCCCCGATCGGGAAGTCAATCGCGCTGCGCGCACGCGGGGCTTCTTTCCCAGCCAGCTGCACGTAAGGCTACAGCCTAGGCAGGGCAACGGGACGAGAGCAGCGGGCCTTGTCGAGAGAGTAGAGCAGCAAAAGGGGAAATGGATTTGCTCGTCTTGGTTCTATCAGCGCTAGATGTCAGCGAGCAGCTGCAAGAGGCAGGGGCAGGGCGGTGAATGTTATGGATTATGGGCAGCTGCGTCTCTGCGTTACGATGCGTGCTTCCGAAGATCGATATTTCGGTCTTTTTAGATTTTTGCGTCTCTGTGTTTGGAGGAGGTGGTCTGTCCAACAGCCTTCACACCTTCGCTGCCTAAACCGAGTTGCTACGCTGCGCCTTCCAAACGGGCCAGGCATCCCAGTGAGAGGACGAGGGGGAGGGGGGCAGAGAGATACAGCGCGAAATCCGAGTCTTAGGTGCGTGTGGGCAGCGGCTATTTATAACCGCTAAGATCAATCGGAGAGAATTAGAGAGAAAAGAGAGCGAGCGAGAGCGCCCTCCGCTACCGGTTTTGGTCCGAAGCTCCAGTTTAGATGGCGCGGCCTTGGCATGGGATTATGACCGGATCGGCCAGGAGGGAGTTTGCGCTGTCCGGTTGCCCCCTGGCGGGTGTGCGCAGCATCGGATTTTTCGCCTTCATGATGGTTCTGTTTCACAGGGCGAAAAACGGGAATAAACAAATAACACCCCAGGGGGTCTAAAAGCGGTTATACAGCCGGGAAGGCGACAGCAGATGAGATGTGGGCGAGCTTTTCCTTTTCCTACCCCCATTAAGACACACGTGAGGCGTCCATCTCCTTTAAGGCTTTCCTCCTCCCCCTCCCCCCGCAGGTCCGGGCCCCGCTAAGACGCTTCATTTGCATATCCTTGCTCGATAATTTCACCTGTAAAGGGAACGGTGAATGGCCATCGAGTGTCCTTGGCTTTCGCTCCAGTGGTAGCGGGCACGCACAGAAATGAATGGGATTGACGTTAGTCTGGCTAACGTGATCATTTTAATGGGTTTACTATACGTAGTTCTAACATCAGACAACTACAAATGCCCGAGAGAGAAGGGAATCTCCGTCAGGGAGCTCTGTTCTAGCGCATGCGGGAGGAGTAAGCGACCTTTTTCCCGTGGCTGGCTGTTCTCTTGCAATCCATTCCTCCTGACACGCGCGCGTGCGCGTGCACGCACGCACACACGTTATTGCTGTCACTTTTCCCGATTGACAGGCGCGCAGAGGTCAGGCAATACTCAAGACAGGGCTTTTCTTAAAAGTAGCTTTCCGGTAGTGGTTCTGCGGGAGATTAGAGCTGCCCTCCTGCGGTTCCAGTCAAAAGGGGGGAAAGGAGAAGCGGAGAAAGTGGTGGCATCGGAGCCCTTTATAGGCGCTGTTAGGGCTCGAAAGTCGCCGCCGCTTCTCGCACGGGTCCTGTGAAGAACCGCAGATGTGCTGCATAACGCGGGGGGAGAGGCGCAGAAAGCATCGCAAGCAGTGCCACGCTCCTGAGTTTGAATCGGATTACGAGCTGCGTTTCGTGGAAAGGCAAATTCGCTCTGATCCACGGAAGGCAGGCGGTAACTTCAGTAGCAACCACCAAAACCATCCCTTTCCTCCCTTCTGTGCTTCACACATCAGGGGCTTTTTCAGCATATGTCCTTTTTCACTCACCACTGGAGCCCTGTCCCTAGGATTAGTTTATGGAAAGAGATGGCAACAGTGTTCGGGCAGGCTGGAGCCCCAGTCACCCTCTTGTTTGTTTGGTATTAAAGTGGATCTGCACCTGTTGAACTCGTGGGTTGCAACGGGAGACGAGGACTGGCATATCCCTTCCCTGCCAGCAGTTCTTCCCCAAGCTAACCTTCCTCACAAGTCGGTTGTTGTGAGGATAAAGGAAGTTGAGTGATACTATTTACATTGTCATGAGTTCAGTGGAAGAAGAGTGAGATTAACGTGTCATATATGAATGGAACTCTTGTGTATGGCTCTACATTTGTAAGTCCCGAAACCTACTGAAAATTATCCATTAATATTATGCATTCTGGGGATATGAACCATGATGTCTGAATGGCTGTACTGCAATTGACAGAGATAAATGCCATACTTATTAAAATGTGATCTCAGCTCTGCGCACTCCCTTCTAACACCCTGACCACTGGTTAACACTAGTTCTTTAGTGCATAGCACTGCAGCCTTAATTTGGCAAGATAGCTTGCTCTGACCTTGTAGCCCTAGGCTGCCAAGAAGAATCTGCCAGGTCGGCTTAATGCCAGGTCAGCCCACAATAAATCTTCCCTCATCCATGACTTGATTGTGGATGAGGGGGCCGACCTGGCTTGCATAACAGAGACCTTGGCACGAGGGGGGTGGGGATGTTGCCCTCTCTCAAATGTGCCCGCCTGGGTATCTGGTTCAGCACCGTCCACGCCTGGAGGGGAGGGGGGGTCGCTTTGGTTTACCGAGCCTCCATCTCCCTCACGGGACTTCCAGTCCCTTCGAGGCCAGGGCTGGAGTGCCTCTACTTGGTGTTGAGCTACCGAGACAGATTGGGGATTCTGTTGGTGTACTGTGCACCCTTCTGCCCAACAGTCTCCCTGCCTGAGCTGACAGAGATCGTCTCGGACCTGGTGTTGAGGACCCCCAGGATGTTGGCCCTGGGGGACTTCAATCTCCATGCCAAGACTGGTCTGACCAGGGTGGCTCAGGACTTCATGGCCTCCATGACGGCCATGGGGCTGTCCCAACATGTCACAGGCCTGACCCATGAACGTGGACATACTCTGGACCTGGTTTTCTCAACGGGGCAGGAAGAGGGTGGTCTGAGGGTGAGGAATTTATGTCTGACACCCCTGTCATGGTCAGCTCACTTCCTCGTGAGGTTTGTGCTCGAGAGCGGCCTCTCCCTCTGTAAGGGTGCGGACCCGATTGTGTGGGTCTGCCCCCAGAGCTGGATGGATCCGGACGGATTCCTGAAGGCCCTGGGGGAGTTTCCGGCTGACAAGACTGGTGCTCCTTTCGAGGCTCTGGTCGAACTATGGAACGGGGAGATGACTAGGGCTGTTGACACGATCGCTCCTAAGCGTCCTCTCCCGCCAGGCAGAGCCCACTCTTCCCCTTGGTATACATCTGAATTGCGGGTGATGAAGCAGGCCAGGAGACGGCTAGAGCATAGGTGGAGGAGATCACAGGATGAATCTGACTGAACACACTTAAGAGCCCATTATTGGGCCTATGCTGTGGTGGTGAGGGCGGCAAAAAAGAAATTCTTCTCCGTTTCCATTGCCTCCTCAAAATGCTGTCCAGTGGAGCTTTTTTGGGTGGTACAAGGGTTGGTCTGTCCTGGCCCTAAGAAACATCTGGTTCCACCCTCGAAGGCCCACTGTGATGACTTTGCCAAGCATTTCAGGGAGAAAATCGCTCAGATTTGTCACAAGCTAGACTCTACTAGTGATTCAGAGGCTTCTGGGGAGATACCAATGTCGCCGTCTGGTCCAAAATTAATGGATGAATTTCAGTTATTGCGGCCTGATGATGTGGACAAGGTGCTTGGATGAGTACGTCCCACCACTTGCCTATTGGACCCTTGCCCATCTTGGTTAATTAACAACACCAAGCACAGGATTGGGACCTGGATCTTGGAAGTGGTTAACGCTTCTCTGAGGGAGGGTCGGGTGCCTGCCCCTTTAAAGGAGGCGGTAGTCCGACCGGTCCTGAAGAAAGCGTCACTGGATCCAGAGATGGCCACTAACTATAGACCAGTGGCCAACATCCCGTTTCTGGGCAAGGTGTTGGAGCAGGTGGTGGCAGGACAACTCTAAGCACTCTTGGATGAAATTGATTATTTGGACCCATTTCAGTCCGGTTTCAGACCCGGGTACGGTACTGAATCTGCCTTGGTCGCCCTGTACGATGACCTGTGCAGGGAGAAGGACAGGGGGAGTGCGTCCCTGGTGGTTCTTCTGGACCTCTCAGCGGCTTTCGATACCATCGACCATGGTATCCTTCTGGATAGGCTAGCGGGAGTGGGGGTTGGAGGCACTGCTTTGCAGTGGTTCCGCTCCTATCTCAATGGCCAATTCCAGAAGGTGGTGCTGGGGGACTATGGCTCTGTACCATGGCAGCTATGCCATGGAGAACCACAGGGATCCATTTTGTCCCCTTTGCTGTTCAACGTCTACATGAAACCGCTGGAAGAGCTCATCAGAAGGTGTGGGCTGTGGAATCATCAGTATGCTGATGATACCCAGCTCTACTTCTCGTTCTCCACCAATCCAGGTGAGGCAGTGGCTGTGCTGAACTGGTGCCTGGCCGAGGTAATGGGCTGGATGAGGGCCAATAAACTGAAGCTCAGTCCAGACAAGATGGAGGTCCTGTTGGTTGGCGGATTGGGCTTCGGGGAAGGTGAATTGAACCTAGTCCTGAATGGGGTTGCACTCCCTCTTAGGGACAAGGTCCGCAGCTTGGGAGTGCTCCTCGACCCAGAGCTTTCATTGGAAGCTCAGGTGACAGTGGTGGCAAGGAGCGCTTTCTTTCAGCTTCAGCTGATCCATCAGCTGCACCCCTACCTGGAGAACGACTGCCTGG